CGTATTTTGTCACTTTTACTACGTTCTCCTTTTGTATCCATGCCAACTTGTACGGGCTAGGATGCTCTTCTGTTTTTAGCTGAAGTTTTTCAACCATAGAACTCGAGACCACATTTTCACAGCTCCCACTATCCACGATTACTTGGCACACTTTGCCTTGGACGGTACAACGAGTCCTGAAAAGATTGTGTCTCTGCGCTAGCTCCTCTTTTTGATTCTTGAGTAACCGCTGTATGACTAGCATTGGTCCCTCATCAGCCGGAAGGTAAGTAGGAAGTGGCGTGCTCAAAACTTCTGGGCCAGTAACCTCTTCTGCCTTGTCTTCAGTCCACTCCATTCCTTCATCTTCCATTAACGTAATGACACGCCTATTAGGGCAATTGGAGGCAATGTGACCGAAACCGTGACATTTAAAACACTTCCTGGCTGGGTAACTAGTGGTGTTGTTCGGTTTGTTGCCGATCTGAGCGGATTCGATGATTTTCGACTGGCCACCGGAATGACCTGCCTCATTGCTTCCAGCCTTCTCTTTAAATTCTGCTCTAACACCCCATCTACTCTGCCCCGCCTTAGCTTTCTTCTGCTGCTTCTCAACTTTAAGAGCCAAATTCACAACATCTTGAAATGTCCAATAGGACTGCAATTGAACCACATTGCTGATTGCAGGTTGTAACCCCTCCAGGAATCTTGCAATCGTATTTTCTTCTGGCTCTACCATATCACATTTAAGTGATAATTGCTCAAATTCCGCCACATATTCTTCCACAGTCATCTGATTTTGCTGAATCCTATGTAATTTCAAGAATAAATCCTGTTTATACTGCTCAGGCAGATACTTCCTCTGCAGTTCTTTCTTCATTTTGTCCCAGCTTACAATTTTGCTTCTTCCTTCACGGAGTCTGGTTCGCTTCAAGTTTTCCCACCACAATGACGCATTCTTTTTCAACTTGATGGCCACCAATTTGACGACTCGATCCGGCTTTACCTCTTTGAATTCCAAGATCCTGTCCACAGTATGAATCCAATTAATGAATTCATCCGGATCTAATCTCCCTTCAAAATCAGGCAAATCGATTTTGATTCCTCCATCATCTGGCCTGGAGTTTCTGTCTCGTTCACGCGGTCGACGCCTTCCTTCATCATCGCTGGAAGTGGCCTGATAAAAAGGATTTTCACCTTCTTCTTGATTCTCGCCAGCGTCTCTATGCTCAAATCTGTCTAATCTTTGTTGCAAACGCTGTATTTCTCTTTGCAAATCTTCGATCAACACTTCTTGCACCGGTCGCTGAGGATTACGCCGAGGCGGCATCTTGCCGGCTCTGATACCAAACTGATACCGGAATCCAGTAATTCCAGCAGTGGACGAAGCTAACTCCGGCGCTGCAGTGTTCCAAGCAACAACCACCACCACCTGGACGGCTTGAACAATCCAGGATACAGGAAAAATGACAGGGTTCTTGAACCCAGGAACAACCTCACGGTTCTTTATTTCAAAAATCAATCCAAAAAAAATCCTTCCCTCCTATCCGTATGAACTATTTATGTTCAAATACGGCTACAGGCTGAGCCAGAACACACGCTACACCAACAATTATAAACGTATAAATCGAATACAGGATACTAATCTAATATTACCACAAAATTAAAAACAGGACACGAATGACAAACATTTAAGCTAGTAAGCAAACTCCGTTGGCTGCAGGCTATTCTGGATTAAGCTCCGGCGTCATTCGCCCGGGGTGAGAAGAGCTTCGTCCTCAAAATGTGGAGTCAAGTCGGCCACGTTAAACACTGCTGAAATGTTGTAATTTCCGGGCAAATCTATCTGATAAGCGTTATCATTTATTCGTTTGACGACGCGGAATGGGCCATCAGCTCGAGGCTTTAGCTTATTGAAAGCTTTTGGTGGAAATCGCTCCTTAATCTGATCCATACCAAGTCACCTTCCTGGTATACAACCTTCTTCCGGTGCTTGTTGGCTTGATTGCGATACCGATCATTCTGTTTGACGATTTCATCGTGCACCTGCTGATGCAACTTCTGGATTTCCTTACTCCTCTGTTCGCCGTCGGAGTTAAAAGTGGTATGTTGGACTATTGGAATTAAGTCCACCGGCGTCAATGGATTTCGCCCATACACTATTTCAAAGGGGCTCTTGTGGGTAGACTGATTAACCGATCTATTGAAAGCAAATTCTATTTGAGCCAATACTAAATCCCATTGTTTGAGATTTTTACCAACAAAACACCTTAATAGATTTCCTAGGCTCCGGTTAACGACTTCGGTTTGCCCGTCAGTTTGCGGATGAGCGGCTGAACTATACTGCAGGCGAGTACCCAACTTACTCCACAAAGTTTTCCAAAAGTAACTCATAAATTTTACATCTCTATCAGAGGTAATAGTCAGCGGAATTCCATG